GGATGTTATGGGTTTCCCCGGGACCGCCTGGATCCGGCCCTCACCCTGGGCTGGGTGCTGAGAGCAGGATGAAAACCAGCTTTCAGCAGCGCCGTGCCATGCTTCATCGCATCCCCACGCTCCGGTTTTCCTACACTGTGGGGAATTTCCCTTAATCCAACCTCCAAATCCCAAATCCAAGTGGGGGGAGCCCCCCCCCAGCCCCCCTTATCCCCATCCCGCATCCCCCGAGGAAAAATTTCCTCTAAAAGTTCAAATCCAGCAGAAAAAAGCAGCAAAGCTTTTTAAACCTCCTGCCATTTCCAAGCTCTGACTCAGGGTTTCTGCTCGGGGACGGCGCGTCGGGGCCTCGCTGGCTCTGACTCACTGCAAAAACCAACCCCGAATCCCGAGCGGTGATTCACGGGGACACGTGCTGTGCCATAAGCGTCCGGGAATCCGAGTTGCTGCTTTCCGTGGGGCTCCTTCCAAACCGCTCGCGGGCGGTAGAAAACAGCAACGTGTGCCATAAGCGTCCGGGAATCCGAGTTGCTGCTTTCCGTGGGGCTCCTTCCAAACCGCTCGCGGGCGGTAGAAAACAGCAACGCCGCGGGAGAGGGGGAATCGCAACCGGGATTTATTTTTGCTGTGGATTTTGCAGCGGGAGGTGTTTATCCCGGTCGTTTCACTCGGTCAATGCATCCGTTGCTGAATTCCTGGGAATGCAATTCCCGTGGGAGGAAGAGGACTCGGAGCAGAGCCCAGTTATGGGGTTGCAAGTGCATTTTTGGGGTGGCTGTGGCTGCTTTCCCTAAGGGTTTTCCGCAAAGCAAGATGCATTTTGCATAAATAAATTCAATATATTTTGCAGCTCCTGGGGTGGTCAAAGCCCCAAACCAAACAGGAGGGGGCATTGCCCTGGGCCGTCCCTGTGAAAAGTCCCTGTGTCCCCATGTCCCCAAAGGATTCAGGGATGGCTGTACCCCCCTGCCCCCAAACACAGCCGAGGGGATGCCCAGATGTGGCCCCAGCTCTCCAGATGTTGCATGGGTCACCCAGGTCTTGAACTGCAGTGGCTAGAAGTTGCCCAGGGTGCCCAGATGTTGCTCCAGGATACTCAGATATCACCTGGCATGCCCAGATGTTGCTCCGGGATACTTAGATATCACCTGCCATGCCCAGATATCACCTGGCATGCCCAGATGTTGCCCCAGGGAGTCCAGATGTTGCTCCAGGATACTCAGATATCACCTGGCATGCCCAGGTGTTCCCCTACATGCCCAGATGTTGCGCCAGAGTGCCCAG